CATATCATCTCAGAACATGAATCTTGTCAAGAAAGGATCAGGAATATGAATCACATTCCCAGTAGACTGTAATTTATATTAAATGTATCAATAGGCAGTGCATTCAAATCATCACTCTGCTTGCCAGAAGGCTTATATACTCCATTAAAAAGTACAATTTTCCCCATCAGTAAGTCAAAAGCTGGAGTTACTCAGCACTAAATCATTTGAGACCAAACATCTATTAACACATTTAGAGACATGGGCAAATATTTCCAATGCACAGTGATAGCTAGCAGATAATTTAGTATCCTAGTATCTCTTCAAAGGTGGTGATAAAGACAATAACTGAACTCATGAATAAGCTAAGGAATACAAGAATAGCATCTTAAAGCAAAAATTTTGGTTTAATATCTAAGCAAATGTGTAAACGTGAAACAAATTTTTTTAACATTTTGTACCAAAATTCATCTTAAGGTAGTTTCCTGGAATTCAACACACAACAATAATACTGGAACTAAAAAATGTATTATTTTTGCTAAATAAAATAGCAGCATCATATATAAAATGTACATTTGTGATTAAAACCATTGTTCTCATATTTCAGCTTCATAACTGATCTACATTTGTCACACTGTCCTAAATTTGTTTTCTTTTAAAACTTACTGTATGATATACGATGATTTCATTTAAATAATTGTGATGATGGTGATATCATGATGATGATCACGATGATGGAAATTATAGCAATGATGACAAGAATATCACATCTTTTTTGGGTATTAGTATTTGTTACTACATCGATTGTCCTGAAAAGTGATCACTGGCATGTAAGGAGATGTCTTTCTAGTTATATCCACCTCCTCAGCCATAATTTCCAGAGATATTCAAGTTCAAATGTTTTTGTTTGGCATTTTTTAAAACTTCTTCTCCAGATGGCAATGTAATGTTTCCTCCACAAAATCCTACTGATTCCTGCATTGTTAATGCAGAATTCTGAAGATTTGTAGCTAAAATCTGGGTAAAACACAATTTTAACAATTTTTGGTATACTGAAATGGATGCAAGAAACACAAATTCAAAATGCTGAAGATCGTTCAAAGTGTGAGCCATGATATAAGAAAACTCCTGATGAGTACAATAGCACCTAAATATGTTTGCATTATATCTCTAGAACACCATATGGATGGAAAGGCAATAAGCCATTGCTTAGAGTTTCATTGCCCCCAAAGTTCATTACAGAGATGGATAACACACCTCAGTTAAATTAGTTGCTACAACCTGCTACAACCTACTGGCAGAAAGTGTATGCTTTGGACTGCTGCACTGGCAAAAAAGGAAGCATGAGGGAATGAGTATGGCTACTTAGTTTCACTCAAAGTCTGCTTTTCCTTTGGCTCCTAAAGAGTGAAGTGTAAATTAATACAAATTTTATGCAGGAGTAGTAAAAGTGCCCAGAATCCGCCCCCTTAATGAGATGACCTTCAGAAAGTCCTCAAGTGGTAATTGCAGGAGCATCATATAAGCCCAGGGAAAAGACACAGCTTGAGTCCTTTTATTTCAGAGAGGCAAAGTGAAGACAACCTAAGCAACAGATTAAGGCAGGTAGAGTTTGGGAAATATTTTGCAGATTATAAAGTTCTACCAGGGAACAGGAGAGCAGAGAGGGACCTGCTGCTGGGCACACATAGGGCTGAAGAGATTTGGAATGGCAGTCAGAGTTTTGATTTGGTAGGATAGATTACACCAGTTTTTATTTCTGATTTTTTAACAGCATTATTTCCTTTCACTTCAAATCTATATGGATCAGCTATGGATCATGATAAATAAATCCTTGGTAGAGAATAAATTATTTGTGGCTGCATTATTACTACAAGTTACACAATTCCTATTTGAACTGTTTGCAATCCTGTTTTGCTGCTGTATGAACAATCTGTTTCATAGTCATGGATGTTTCCTGTAGATAGCCAGGGCATTCAGGCCCAAACCTCTACCTTATTAAGTCAGAAAGCAACTCTTTCCTTTTTTTTTACTACTTGAAAAAATCCAACCCAAACTGATTTTTCCTGCATGAAATGATTAGCTGGGTCATCCCACTCTGCCTTTGTCAGTTCATGACACCCTTATGCCAAAAATAGCTAACATTCACAACCTCTTGAGGACAGTTTTGTCCTGGTCATGTGTTTGACAGCTAGGGATTACAGCCATGTTTGCCTCACAGAATAAACCCTGCCAGTTCCAGCTTGTGTCTCCACATCACTCTGCAGTCATCCCCCAGCAACGCAGACACAGGCTCCTGAGTTTATTCGACTCGATAACCAGTTTCTCTTGTAAGAACTAAATTATCAAACTGAAATTTTCAGGACATTATTTTGGCACCATGTTTAAAATTCCTCAGCATTATTTCATTGCAAGGTTAAAAAGATTATCATGCAACACTTCTATCTTCAGTATTCACCATTCACAAGAATGTGAACTGGGACTGGCTATGAAAATACAGTATCATTTTTGTCAGCTGGGCTGGGGCAGTTCTGTAGAATAAAAGAATGATCAAGATATACTGTTAAGAATGCAAAACATGTTGGGATTTTATTTTCATTCTACTAGGTTGTTTTTATAATTTCTTTTTCCTTTAATAAATTTATGCTGAACCAATAGATTACATTGTCTTTAATTGTTCTTATCTGTACTGCAAAATATAAACTACTATTTTTTAAATAAGAATCTAATTCCTTTTAGTCAACCGTGCCTTTCCCAAGTAGTAACAAAATCATGAAAAGTAAAAAAAAAATCCCCACCCAGATAACCAGAAAGCATGTCACAGTGCCAGCATCAACAACATAGTCATTCATTCCAGAACTGGGAACACTAGGGGTTTTTTTAACTCAGAATTTATTTGTGTGAGAAAACAGAACCTAGGCTTTGATGAGAAAGGCTTTCATCTGATAACTGGATTTTTTCCATTTTTATGGGTTTCCACAGTGCTCCTGGGGACTCATATGTTTGAGTTACTGATTCTCCCATATGGATTAAACACCTTTGACAGACTACAGTGTTGTGCCAAAGTGCCTCTTTCTTAATGAGATACTGCAACACCTGTTGGAAATCTAAGTGAAGTGAATTGAAAAATATATATTTCAGATGAAGACTCAAAATATAAAGTAAAACAAGGGCACAATATGTTCAAACAACAATTTCCAAGAGCAGTGATGGATAAATTTACAAAGAGAAAATTTTTATAAATTTAATTTTGTTTTTGATTTTTTTTAACAAATAAGAGAAGTCCTGAAAAGGGCACTTCATAAGGATTAAAAAAAAAAAAAAAAAAAAAAAGAAAAGGACAAAAAGTTACCCAAATTAATTTCCCATTTTTTTGAAAATTAGTTTTGATGGAAAGACAGTGGACCTGAACCAAACTCTCCACTAAAACTGGCAGTCAGTGCTACCCATGGGGTAGGCAGGGCAGGGCATGTTGGATAAGGATGTACATCTGGAAAATACAGCCCAGTTCATTTTCCTAAGAGAAAAAGCAGGAATATCTGTGTTTAAATACCTCCTGACGGACTGAAACTAAAAGTATCTTCAGCCTTTACTTTGCACCATAGTACTGTAACCTTTAATTTTCTTTTTAAGAGCAGGACTGATGTTAGGGGAAGGAAAATAAAAAAAATCAGAAAGAAAGCACTTGAGAGACAAAAATGTGTTTTGAACATTACAGATGGTGAAAAATCATCATTGAACTTAAGAAGTTCTGATATTTAATTTGATACATGATTAAAATATCTGAAATAGGAACAGTTAATATTTCTCTCAGACTTTTAATGAACACATCGAGGTACTGTTATTTACAAAATCTGACTCTACTGAACTATTTATAGAGACAGTAACAAATATATCAGCAATGCAAAAATGTAAGTAGTAGAAATTATATCTTTAAACTTCTATCAGAGGTTGGATCAGGTGGTGTTAAATGGCACAGCTACACCGTGGTGTCTGAACAGAACTGTGACTTCCATCAGTTCTGGATCTGGATGACACTTTGCACACAATCTGAATACCTGTTTTCTTTGCAAATTAATGCCTTTGGGGAGTTTTGCTGCCCATACAGTAGTTCAGTGACACAGGTGATTCCTTGAAGCATTTCTGTTTACAGTTCCTTTCAAGTCTGCATATTATGCAGTGTAACTAACTACAATCAAAGGAAATGGGAAAAAACCCAAAAATCCAACCATTAACCATTAGATTAAGTCATAAGGGAAAACTTCACTGAAAGCTAATTGACTGAAAGTCTTAGAAAATCAGTAAATGGCTGTATCAATATCCTATCAATAATGGATTGTATCTTGGATATTCTTATCCCAGATGAGGACCTTCACTTGAGTTACAGATTTTTTTGTGGCGTAGAATTATTAGCTACTAATTAAAGGGAAAGGGGAAAAACAGTAAGAAAATCTATCAGCTGTAATTATAGTAAGAGATTTTATACAAACCCTTCCCATTCCTGCCTGGCTCTGGTACTACCTTCACCCACCTTCTTTCTCTTCCTAACAGCTGGAGACCCGGTCTTGTCAGCTGGGCTGGGGCATTAGCTTTTCCCATTATAAAGAGTTCTTGCCCTTATCTGGTCTAATTATACAGAGAATAGAAATCATAGAATATGCAGTCATATCAGCACAAATTAACCTGAAGTGTAACTATTCACTGTACAGCAAAATTTCTCGCTATGTGATCAGTATTTAGTTTAAATAAATATTTATTTGACTACAATTTAAAGACTATTAAAACAGCACAGTTTTATAGCTTTTCTACTGATATTTGAGACTGCTAGCACTCAGAAACCTGAAATGTGATGATGTAGGAAGGTTACATGTCACCAGATGTAAGTGCCACAAAGAGTGCAGATCCATTCTCACCTGAAAGAGCCTTGCTGATATTCCTTCCATATTCCTCTGATCAGATTGCAGACATTGAAAGGAAATAAATAGCTACCTGAATATAACACCCACAAACCAGCAAACAAATGGCACTTGAAATAAAGATATGCAGATTTATTTTTAAAGCAAAGGGAAATATTTGAACCTAAAGGGATACTAATTACTTGGCATTTTATAAATGTACATAAAGAGTTAATTTAAACCAGGTGCTAGTAAGAGCTGGCAAAAGCTTTTTCTGACTTTGTGCTGCCTTCTCAAAATTTGTCATTGTCCGTTAATCACACCAGAATGATAAAAAACAATTCATGGTTCACTCTGAAAACATATTCAAGTTTAATTAGATCAGATTCCTTTTAAATTATGTTTCAATTCTTTAGAACAGGTAGTAATAAAATTTTACCACTTAGAAATCCAGAATCACAGATGGGGAAGTACTTTAGGACACAAAATATCTAAGATACTTTTACATATCTTTTTCAGTCTTTACAGGAATTCATTTTTATAAGACAGTGGTGACTGAAGCACTGAGTCAGGCTCACGCAACACAGAAACTTTCTGAATATGCCTAGAACTGCAGAGAAATATATTTTTACAACAAAAAAACAATTTTTCAGCCTCCTTATCCACAAAACGAGGGATGGTGGTAAAATATCAATATGTCTCGTGAACAGAGGTAATATAACAAAACAACAAAAAGCTCTCAGCATTTATGCAGAAGTACTGTTATCCTCAGGGTCTCTGTCTACGAGATGAATGCTCCCTGTGAACAAAGATTCCTCTTGAGCCGAGGCATTCTCCAGCTGCTTATTTGTGCAATATGGAATCTGACCACAGAAATACATGTAAATCCATGGGTTGGCACAACTATTTAGATTGCCAAGGAGCATTATAATGGTGAATGCCGAACCTAGAACAAAACAGTTAAAGGAATAAGAGACTAAATAAAACACTCTTATAAATATAAGTCACATTTTCACAGTCTGCTGCTTTCTGCTGCATCTATTCATATGTTAAAACTAATCTAATAGTAGGAAATCCCTATATCAATGCAATTTGCAATTGATGAAGGTATAAAGCACGCTATATTGTATATATTCAGAAATAAATAGTTTCATAGAACTCTTTTTAGATGTAGTTGCATTAATTTTAAAAGCAATTACTAAGCTGTTAAACAGATACAAATAAATACAGATACATATTTTGACAGAAATGCATGTGGAATAAGACTCAAATTTAAACTGACAGGAAGAATTCTTAAAGTTCAGAAACTACTGTTTTTATCAAGGAGGACTGTTATTTTTTTCCTCTTTTTTACCTCTTTATTTAAAATAGGTGAATTTAAAGTCACATATAGAGTCTGCCTTTCAGAAAGGCAATAGTATAAATTTGACACGACTATTCTTGTTTACAACATGATAGCTCTCTCAGGCTTACTTTTTTGCTTTATAAACAGGTGGTTGACAACTTTTGGTTGTTTCATAGTTTACTACAGAGATTTCACCAATATGACTTCAATATTTTAAAAAAATCAGATGTCTTATAACACCACTGTTCTACCCAGTAAATAAGAAATAATTTTATTACTTTGAATAGTCAATCGCTCCTTTTCACCTCAAGAACCCAAAATACTGCTGCTATAATACCTAAAACCTGTAAAAGTCTGAGGCTTTGCTGAAGCACACAATACTTTTCACCATGCTGCTCATGAACCTTTAAATTGTTAATCACTCAAGACACACGAAAAATAGACGCATAATGTTTTGATCACATAATACAAGAAGCTCCCTGTATCTAATTAAATAGAGGAGATAATCAATCCAGGTAAGTATTTTTAATCCTCCTCAAATGACCACATGTAACCTTTACACAAAAGCAAAATGCAAATATAAAGCACTTGACAGCAGCGTGCTAACCTGCTCTGCAGCTGTAACTGAGGAGGGAGAGCATCTTACCTTCGGTCAGGATGCTGGGGAACCACACGGACCACAGCTGTGCAATGAAGAAAGGTGACCAACAGAGAACATATGCAACAACTGTCACCACTGTCATTTTTACTGTCTTGATCATAGCCTTTGAAATACAGTTCACACTGCTTGCTCGGGATGGCAGGACTTGGTTCTGCTTTGTTGAGTCACATTCATTCTGTTTTTTCACATTTATATTTCTTCTGATTATTTTGCAAATCTTGACCTGGCATGTGATAAGGATTGCTGAGGGAATGAAGAATATGACTACAAAAATCCAAGTCACATATGCCCTTGGGCCCCAGGGCTGAATAAATTCACCCCAACATTCAAAGACACCTGGAGATATTTCAGTCTTAGAAAAGATAAATACCTGTGGTAGGCTAAGAATCAGTGCTATAGACCAGCTGCTGCAAATGGGGATGTTCCAGAGAGCTCTCTTCTTTTGGAAAGTGACCATAGGGTAGCAAACAGCTTGATATCTGTCCACTGTCATGACCACTATCATATAAGTAGAGGCAAACATGCCCAGCAATTGTAGATACTTGATAATTCTGCACAAGAAATCTGGCCCTATGAAAACATCTGTAATATCCCATATGAGTTGTGGCAGCACTTGAAAAAAGGCTACCACTAAGTCAGCAATGCTGAGGTGAAGCATGAACACATACATCCTAGACAGCTTCTTTCTTCTTCGCCACAGCACCAGTATGAGAATGAAATTGCCCACAGACGCCGTCAGAAATATCACCCCCAGTACAGCAATCTCTACATGAGCTAATTGCTGATCTCTTTCTGGTCTTCCAATAGGATCTGACTGATTTGTCAAACTCAGGAATCTGTGAGGAGGAGGACTCTCAGTCTGATGGGTGTTATCCTGCATAGGAAATGAAAAATTCTTCATACTGCACAGAAGCTACTCACAGTAGCTGCCACTTGCAGCTGATGTTGACAGCTCTGAAGCACTGGCTGGCAAACAAACCAGCCTGGGTTCAAGTTTCAGGATATCTTCAAGCAAATCCTCTTGCTCAAGTGAACTAAAGCAGTGGGACTTGGATTGTGATAAAATTCTTCCTCTCGCTGGCATGCAAAAAGGCTTTATATAGGCTCCCAGCAGACAGAGCCTTATGTAACTGCGGAGCCCTCGGGTAGGCTGCAGGGACAGCAGCCAATGGCAGACCGAGCCACACAATTGGGGGAAATATATAAATAAAAGGCAAACTTCAGAGGCTCAATGTGATTCAATTACTCACTTCAGTAAAAACCCAAACTTGTAAATAGCTGTGGCCAGACTTGTACTCAAATGACATTACTCAGGAGAATTCTTGCAAAAATTTTTCTACGCAAACCAGAGGAGCAAGCGGGAGGAAAGTTTATACATAGATAAAATTGTATTCCTGAGCTCAGGCACATCGTAAAGGCAACCTCCAGGCTCCTGGGGCATGACCACATCCTAAATGCAGCACAGAGAAAGAAATGCATTTTTCCATAGCTCTTTTTTTCCTTCTTCTCTTTTTTGGAGTCACCTGGTTCTAAAATAAAAAGAAAAATATTTCTACTGCCTTAAAAAAGAATATTTTTATTTCAAAATGGGGTCAAGACTTAGAGGTTTTTTCTCAGCAAATGAAAAATAACACATGTGAAATAAATTACTTTTATTAGGATTGTGAGTCTATTGAGAATTTAACAGGAAAAAAAGTGAAAATTCAGTGGCAAATCCAACTGAGAAAAAGGTCTCTATGATGAAACAATACCCAAAGGTCTCTATTCTATTATAGTGTTGAAGTCCACAAGATCATTTTTCAGTATCTAAACCTTTTCATTTTTGTAAATCTAAATTGTATCATGAACAGAGGAAATTCATTGTTCTTTAACTTTCTCATATGACTTTGCATAAAGTTTGTGGCAGATAAGAATAGAAAATTTAAACTGCTTTCTTTTTTTTATCACTCAGCCTGTTGTCCTAATCACAAAAGAGAGATTAAATAAAATTGATCAGTTTAATATGAAAAATAACAGATATTTGTATGCAATCTTACTTGAAGCTAGGGAACTCATATCCTTCTGGTTACAGTCAGGACACTGATAGCTTGAAGTCTTTCTGAGGAGGAAACCACTAAGGTGAAAAGCAACATCCATGCTGCATATATAGTATATAATATTGTGATCACAATTATATTATAAGACCAGCTCAGGAAGCTCACAGACAGACTACCACTTCTATGCTACTAAAGGTTTTCATGTACCAACAAGCAGGTGAAGGGCAAAATTCATAAACAGGATGCTGAGGTAGACTACAAAAGTTTGAAAAACCTGCATGACCTCTTTGCTCTCCCTCTTTTCACCTTATCTGCCACCATGCAATGGATGTTAATAGCTCATGGAAGGGTATGACTATCAGAACAGACAACAGAGAAGCTGAACAATCTCAAGAAGATTTTCCACTGACAGCAGCTGTAAGTATCCATTATCTAGACTTGGCTGAAAGCTGCTGCAGCTGCCTGAGTCTACAAAAGCTTTCCTTTAAGACTGTGTTGCAAAGACTATGAATCACAACAATTTAATCTAATATACCTGATATTTTTTTTTCCTAAATCAAGGCCTATTTGTAGGAAACTTGGATTCCTGAGGTTGTTTCCTTTTAGTTTTCCCCCTCAATTTGGAATCTAGCTCAGTTAGTGGGAAATAGGCATAGCAAGACCATGAAGGAACAAATGGGTTTGCCTTAACCCTCACTCTCCCTTCACCCAGCAACTTGTAGAAGAGTAACTGAATTGACCACAAACAATAAACCCCTGGAAATGCTGTTGGTGACAAACACTGCACTGGAGAGCAGTTGGGTTGATTTCAGGTTCTGTCTTTTGATGGAGACTAAGTTTCAGGTGTGTGCTTCAAAATCATTTACCTTGACCATCTTCACTCCACAACTTAACAAAAAAACAGGTGGGATCTTTATTCTTCTGGTAAGATATGATGTAAACACATACATCTCAGCAGAGCTAAGATTAAGTGGGTTGAAACAGGAACATATTGAAGAGAATATTAAGTTCAGGGTCAGACATGGAAGATAAACATAAATTTATGGTGCATTATTATATTTCAGTATCAAGAAATTATATGCAAAAAACCCAGTATATCCAACAGAAGTCAATTCTGGGATACTGTTGGAAAACTAACCAGAATATCATACCTATTTGTATGATTTTTCACAACACATAAGGTATGGATAGATGTATGTTTCAGGCAAATATGTTTTATCAGCTATATCTAGAATGGCCCAACAAGATCCCTGGAAATACACAACCCTTTCTTGCTCTACACATACACACAGCACACGGTGTCTGGGCAACAGCCCAGACATGTGGACACAGGCCAAAGGGCAAGCACACTGTGAAACAAGTAGCCTTTGCTATGTTTATAAGAAGAGTGGTGGCTCTCCTTGTATAAATTGTACTAGACTAGAGAATTGTCAGACTCTATTCCATCTTGCATATAATCAGTTCAATATATGTTAACGGTTTAATAACTTTATAATTGTGCCCTTTCAGTCTTTTGCATCCATGCAAGAAGATAGTCAGGATAATGTTAAAATGAAATTTAATCCACTCTGAGAATATAACTTGCTGAGAAAAGAAAATTAAGATAAAAGATGAAAACGTTTAAGCAGCCTTAGCTGCTATTTTATGCCAATATTGTCCTCCCATTGCCCAGCTTTGCTTCATTCCAAGCTGTCAAACTGTACCTGTCCAAGCTAAATTACTTTCCTAAATTATTTTAATTAACTTCTGCTGAACTTCTCAGTATCGACTGTCATCTAATATTTGTTAATTAGCTAAAGGGAGAGATTCAGCTCACAGATTAAGACTCTAATTTAGCTGTCTGCTCTGAATTTCAGAATCACACAGCTGCTCAAGGCAGGGACAGTACTGAATTCAGAACACTTTACCCAGGCTTTGTCCATTCAGGTCTTGAAAACCACCAAGAGCATAGAACCACAAACCTCCCTGAGTAACTAGCTACAAATGATTATTTTTCTTGAAAAAGCTACCCTTATGTGTCACCAGAACCTCCCCTTGCCAGACCCCTTGCCAGCATCCTCCTAGGCACTGCATGAACACTGTTAGTGCCTCTGAAGTTATGTCTCCACCAGGTTGAACAAGCTATATTGAGAGCATTGTGGAGTAAGTTGTATTCAAGGAGTTAGTGATCTTGAACAGTATCTGTTCTACTGAACCTTGTACTTAAAGCCTGTGCTGACAGTAGTAAATATCTTGAATGAGATGACATTCCAGCCTGTCAGGAGAAAATGCATGTGATTGTTTGCCACACAAAAGAAAAGGCTCCACATTTTGGGAAGAAAGAGGAACCCCTGCACAGATGGCATCTGTGCAGGGGAAGACCCATGAAATGTCTGTCTGACACTGCACAAAAATGGAGTTCCCAGCATTGGAAGGGACCTAAGATTTCCTCACTATCCATATTTTCTGGGGTTTACCCTATCTTAAGAAAGGGTATTTTAAGTAAGCTATTACTACTCTCTTTATTATTGCACCCTCTTGTGCAGAGCACAAGCCCAGCTCACTCAGCCTCCCACACTAGGCTACATCTTCCAGCCCTCTGATCATCTTCACAAGGCTATGCTGAGCTCACTCATGCTCATAAACACCTCTCCTGTGCAGGGGCTCCAGAGGAAATATTCCATGTGTGGTGAATGGGGAGTGCTGAGCTGGTGGGGAATAAACATTTCCCCTGACCTATGAATTCCATGTGACCTGTGCATGTATGAAGTCCCATCACAAAATTTGCCTTCCAAAAACTGCATGAATTGCAGTGCATTGCAGAATTTTTTGCCAAGCCAGCTGAGGAATATAGGCAGAAGCAGAAATATATGCATTTTAGGGTTAAATGCCTTCAACTACTTTCTAAAACCCAGAATCTGTTTAATTTTTGACAGACATTACTTATTAAATACAACTTGTAAGGAATAGGTTTGCAGTCTTTTACTTTGGAATGGATAAGCAAGTTCTAAAATGTTCCTATTTAAGGAAAGATCAAGTGGGAAATATTGCTGTCTGCTTTTGATGTAAGAAATCCAGGTCTGCCTCTTTTCTCAGTGAGATTCTGTAGATGTGAAGAGGTAGTAGATTATTGTTACTGCACTTGTCAAGTCATGAAAGCCAACTAATTAAGAAAAACAATTTTTTGCATGATTTGCTACATATTTAGAGGATTTCAGAGGAATCAAAATTATTTCCTTAGTGCTGATGTGATTCTATTTATTCTCACACATTAAAATGTACAAACAACTTCCATAGGCCTTATAAGGAGGAAAGGACTAGAATGTGCAGTAAAAGATACAGTTACCAAGAAGATGGTAGAAATATTTATTCTTAATACTTTTTTACATAAAATACTTACTTAGTAGTATATTCTAGGGTAAATAAAAGGAGTCAACATAGCATTGCATTGAAATTTCCCTATTGATAGAGACTATGTTTGAGGAAATGCATTACGTGATGTAAATACATATCAGTAGCAAGAAATATTATGAGAACTGCTTCTGGAAGTAGTGCAATAGATAGCAAATGTATTCTTTCCTACAGGAGATTAATCAAAGTTACATATTAATAGTGTTCAATACTTTGCCTGTAGCATAGATGCATTTACATCAAGGCAGGTCCATATTTTTCACTAATGTAATACTGATTATTTCCAGAGCATGATGGATAAAGTACTTTGTTGTAAGTCTTTTTTACTGGACTAAAATTATGTATACCTTAATTATGCTGTACAATCTTCTGCAGTTCTGGATTCTAAAAAAAAAAAAAATCCCACCATTAGTACAGTAGTTATATTAATATACAAGGTTCTTTAGTCCCAGATTAACAGTACACTTCAACCTTAAATCATTTAAAAGTTACATCTAAAGGCAATGTGCCAAGAATAGACAGAGACAAATACATCACAGACACTATTACAGACAGCATACAATGAATCATGCAATGTAGGCAGCTACCAATGCCATTGTCACCACACAAGGAGACACAAAAT